TTGACTCTTTCCTTTAGATTTTTCTGCATTCTCTTTGAAAATATTTTATCGCAAATAATATTTACATTTTTAAAGAATTTCCCCATATTATCGAAAACTATAGTGGATACATAATTGATGATCAATAATTCATTGTAAGGTAGACATATTTCTAAACTTGGATTTACTGGGTTGTCTCTATTCTATATTGTTTGACGTTTTTGAGTTATGACATTGAATTGACACTGTTTTCATCGTCTAGGTTAAATGCATTACTCGAAACTAATAATAGTAAAAACAATTTGAGGACCCTCTTCGTGTTACAAGTCACAAGTTCATAACTTTTTTTTTTTATGAAACCAAATTTTATAGATAGATTAAACTCCAATCGAAGAGAAAATGTTACAGCCTAATAAAGAAGACATAACTAAAGAAACGGCTAAAACATATGCCGAATAACAAGTATGAAATATAAGGATAGGAGAAAATGGCTTAATAGACAAACAAAATCATGTAGGATGTTTTTCTGCTCATTGACAACAACTTTACACTTGAGAAGGTTGACAAGAGAAAGAAAAACCGAAAACACAATAAAGTGCGGGATCTCTATAGTTGAAGTGGCTAATAATATAGCTTTGAATAGAAAAGTCTCTACTGCTAACACCGGAGCGAGTGTCGAAGACTTGATGCAAAGAAATATGTCAAAACTTCTGCAAATAACAAAGCAAATTCCAACTCCTTTTTTCCTACAAAACAATCCCTCACAACCAAACGGAATGAAAGGGTGTCACAAGTTCATAACTATGGACACTAGTCAGTGGTCACAAGTTCATATTATATATAAGTAATTTTATATGCAATTAACAAAATTCATGAGAACCCCTCTTCGTGTCACCACTGTAACCATCAAATGTTAATTATATGCATTTCTAGGGATTCAATTTTTCTCGTTCTTAGAACTTCGACTAGTAATTCAGATCGAAATTTAGTCTAAATATCACTAAGATTGTTCCACGGTGTATTAGCCGAAATCAAAGCCGTGACGTTCTCTCCAATACACGGGTCTATAATTAATTAAAGTTTTTTTTTTTGGGGTTAACTTTTAAAGTTAATTAATATGTGGGCCGTAGTAAACTGTAGAAGAATGTTGGTGGACTCGTTGGTTACATTGGGATGTGCATTAATATGAGTTCGTGAGTTGTATAAAGAAGTAAATGTGAGATAATATCCGAACACAAGATTACAAAGAACAGTTTCAAAGTTTTTTAACTTAAAATTCTCTCTTTTAAGTAGTCAAAGTTTGGAACTTGAACACCATCAAATTCATCAATATTACTCCAACTTGACTAAAACTCTTTTTTTTTAGTTCTCTATAATAAGTAATAACCGATATTGATTCACCAATAACACGAGGCTCATAATCATACTCATATACATTTAATATCTCTGTTACAAAAGATTTTCAAACCAAGAAGAAATATGAAGGTTAGTTTCAATTGTTATTAGGATTCATTGATTTTTTTTTTTCCTCATATAGTTTCTGAAATGTTTTCTTTGTTTTTGTATTCAGTTCTTCGGATGGATGCAAAACAAGCTAAATGGGAAACAGGAGAATCATCATAGAACAAGCACTTCCTCTGCTTCTTCTCGTAAGTTTTTACTTCCATAAAATCTTTCACCTTCACGATTCTATTGTCTACTAGGGATATGTGCAAGCAACAATGCCCCGAGATTCTTGCCTCTTAAGAATTTGCCGTCTTAAT